GGTCCCCTGGTGGGCGTTCTGGGCTGCGGGGTGGACCTCAGTCCCGACCCCGGGAGGTCCCCTGGTGGGCGTCCTGGGCTGCGGTGTAGCATCTTGTAGAAAGTGGGCGCTCTCTGAACTTAGGCACTGCCATCGGCAGGAAGCAGGCTTTGCTTCTGACTTGGCTGTCACAGTGCCTCTCTCTGTGCTTTTCATGCTGTTCCCAGGGGTGGTAAGTGGATGTTTCCTTGTGTCTTTTGCAGCCACCAGAGGACCTTTGTGCTTGAGGTCATGGGGAGACACTGCGGGTATGTATGTGCACGTGCCGTCTGCGTGGCGAGGACCCTCAGCCCGGCCCCTTGGCCGGTCCACGCGGGAGCCCGCCGCTGCCTTACGAAGCCACCGCCCTTTCCGAATAGGTACCTAGCCCTGGTGAGCGCCCTGGCCTGCGGGGCAGACTGGGTGTTCCTTCCAGAATCTCCCCCGGAAGAAGGCTGGCAGGAGAAGATGTGTGTCAAGCTCTCGGAGGTAACGCGCGTCCTGTTTCCCGTGCCTCGCAGCGGCTCCGGTCACACCGCTCTAACCGTGACGGGTGACAGCCGTGGGATTTCCGGCGGGGACGGACTTGGAGACACGTGGGAAGTGTGGGGCTCTGAAGCGAGGTTGAGCTCAGGGCGTCGGGTCTGCCGGCTCCTCGTGGGTCCGTCTGCTCCCCAGCGATGCAGAGTGCGGGAGAGAAACGCCCAGAGCGCTGTTGTCCCTGCGCGGCGGCCGCTGGTGCTTGAGGTCGCAGAGGCCGTGGCCGCAAAAGAAGTCGAACCTGGGGAGGAAATCTGCTTCCTGTTCCTCCTGCGCCTACCAGCGTGAACAGACCTGCGCTCTGACCGTTTCCGCACACGCCGTGCGGCCCAGGTCACAGCCCCCCAGCTCCCCCTTGTGGCCCCCGCCCCTCTGGGCGTGCCTCCGGTTGGATCGTTTACCGGTCGCCCAGAACCAGGCTTTTCCCGTCCTCGCGTCTGTCGTCTGCGTCTCCCGCCGTGCGTTATTAGCCCCGGGGAGGCACACGAGGTCAGCTCTCAGGACAGAGTCCCCGTGCCTGGTGAATTTCCCTGCCGTGTCACCGCTGCCCTGCGGGGATGTCTTTAAGCGTGTGGCGTAGGCCACTGACGGTCACACTTAGCAGACACTTGGGCTGAGGGTGCAGCAGGGACACGTGTGCGGTAAGACATTGCCGTCACCTTCAACGTGACGGGTTCCGAGAAAGGACTGTGGGCAACAGACCGAGTACCCTCTGACCTAAAAACAGCGTAAGAAACTCCTGACGGACGCCGCGCCCTTGCCGGGAAGAGCCCCGCACGTAGGAAGATGAAGCTTAGGCAGGGGACCGATGAAGCCACCGACGTCCCGGGTACGGGCGTTACCAGTGACGTAGCAGACACGCTCGGTGTTTCTCGCCTCTGACCCGGGGACGTGGGAGGCACCCCCGCCGGCCCGTTGGCGTGGGGCCACACATGGCTGGCTGCGTGAGAAGCACAGTGCTTCTGCATGGCTCACCCCCCCCCCCCCCC